TTAAAATTTTACTTACCTGCCTAAAGGTAAACAGGAACAATAACAATCTGTAGTTATTGTATGGAAACATGACCAACATTGGAAATGGTAACAAAAATGCGAGATTTTTGGGGTTTATTATTTAATTTCCACTAGCGGTCAGATTGGCATAAAGACTATAAATGAGCCGGCTCAGTTCAATGCTGCCAGTAAGTCGCTACGAAGAGGTATTTTTAACAGTTTAACAAGTTTTCTTTTAAAAAGTGTACTTTTAACATTAACAAGTTGAAGGTGAAAGAAACACTTTTAAATCAAAAGCATTACTTTGGTTTTTAATTTTTTCGTAGTTGAAATTACGAATTTTGGGAAACTTTCAATTTAAGAATGCATTATTTTTATTAAAACAATATTTGTTCTTTGTGATAAGAGTAAGTTTTTTTTTTGCTGGTCTTAAATGGAAACTACTATATGCGATTTACTCGAATTTGCGTTATCCACCCGCATAAACGCGAACCATAACTTGCCCTTACCGGAAATGGTTAAAAATTGTTTATAATCCCTGCTAAACTTTAACTGAAATGATTATGGAACTTTACAATATGAACGTTTGTGTGATAAAGTTTTTACCTTATGTATTATGTTTTTTTTTTTGGAAATGAACCTTACAAATAATGGGTTGTTAAGAACCATTACCATTCCAAATTCTTGTTTTCTCCATACTTTATTAGAACCTTTTCACTAATGGTTTTAGAACATTAATGGCAATGGTTATGGCATTCAGTAAGATCCATGAATGGTTTTGTAACATCGATCAACTTTATGTAAAATATATCGCGAATAGGTTGCCTTTAAATTAATGATTACCAATTCGCGATATATTCAACGTAAAGTTGACCAACAGTACAAAACCATCCATGAACCTTACTGACTACCATAACTATTACCATTAAAATTCTCAAACCATAAGTAAAAAGGTTCTAATATAGTTTTATTTCCGAACATGTATGGAAAAAAAACAAGAATTTTGAATGGTATTTAATGGTTCTTCCCAACAAACATTGAATGTTGAATAAAAGCTTATTCAGGCAAAAACAAGCTTCTTCAGCTAAAAAATAGCTTAATCAGCTGTTGATCAACTCAAATTGTTTGTTGGGTTAACAACCCATTATTTGTAAGGTTCACTTCCAAAAAGCCATAAAACATAAGTTTAAAACTTTATCCTCGACTTTATCACACAAACGTTCATGTAAAGTTCCATAGCCATTTCAGTTAAAGTTTAGCAGGGATTATAAACAATTTTTAACCATTTTCGGTAAGGTCACGATATGGTTCGCGTTTATGTGGGCAGCTTTCTATGCTCGGTAATGGCGGCCTGTTAGTATGAATAAATCGACAGTGAGCATGTATAAGGGCGAATACGCGATGATCGATTCTCTTCATCGATTTTCTCTTTGCATTGCTACAGCTAAGCGTAACAATTTTCTAGAATTTGTTCAATGCAGAGTAGTAACAGGTTGTATTGGCTATCAAAAGCAACAGCAAACGCACCGAAAAACGTTAAATCTAGCGAGTTATTAACAAAAGAGAAAATCGACGAAGAGAATCGATCATCGCGTATAGGCCCTTATGCATGCTCACTGTCGAAATGAATCCTTCACTGTGCTTTTTGACACTATCTGGAGGTTCGGATTTTGATCCCTCCCTTTACCTCTCCCAGAAACAGAAGAAAATAGAACAACATACGCCCTCCAGTTACACGGAAACCTCAAAATACGCAAAAATGACTATAAAGGACTCAATTTGGACTATAAAGTCGAGTATAAAGTATAGAACTTTTTGACGTTTAATCGGCGGATCCTACTGCACCATTTAAATCGAACGAGTGCGAGCAAGAGGGAAACAGATTAGTGGGAAAACAAACAGTGCATTCATGCATGTGTGCTAGATAGAGAAAGGCAATTAAATGTCAAAAAGGTCTATGCATATTGGACTAAAACGGGTCTACACCTAAAATGTGTGTATTTTTTACACCATTTATTACGCATTAATGTGTAAAATTGTAGTAATTTTATGGGCAATCCCGTTTCCTTTCAAACATGCGTACTTTATAGTCATAAAAGGGTTTTATGATTACCGATTACCATGTAGTGTCAAAAAGCATAGTGAATGATACATTTATTCGTACAAACAGGCCGCCATTACCGAGCATGGAAAGCTGGATTTTACTGAACCCGGGAATTGACGGAAAAGTACTTAATTTTGGGTAGTTTTTCATCTCCGTGTGGATATTGAGAAAAGTTGGGAACTCGGTTGGGAATGACTACTTTATCCGGACGTGAAATATACATTCACTTTTTTTTTTTGTCGAACTCAGTATTTTGCTTTGTTTTTATCCAGTTCGTTTATTTGGAAGGCTCAATCGCGTCAGTTTTACGGAGCTGATAATTAAATGTTTAATTTTTGTAACAAAATTCACTTAATTATATGTCTAGCAGAAGTTGGGCCGAATACTCGCGGTAAGAGATGAACTAGCCTTCGGCTAAAAATCTCTAAAATATAGATTTAAAAAACGAGGGTGTGTTTTCATTGTCTCATCAGAGCGTTGTCGCCAGTATAAATGGTAGTTCGGTTCTAGATTCGTCTGGAGTTCGACCGTCAGTATTTTGTTTGACGAGATTAGAACAGGAGAGCGCTCGGCGATCATTTCGGTAATTACAATAAATAACGAGTACTCGATAGTCAATGCACTCTTGTGAACTGTAAAATATAACCGATGTGTGCTTTAAAACGAGGAACAAACTGAACCACACAAGAGGAGGAAGCGCTGTGTATTGCGTGGCTGAAGACATCGCAAGATGCAAGTATCGGCATCAATCAGCGAGCGACAAAGTTGAAATTTGTTGTCAGATAGCGTGTCTGTCATTTTAATAGACAGGAAGCTCAGCTTACTGATTATTGGTAAATGCTCTGACCTAGGGGAAGGACAGCTTCAAATATCAGCATCAATACCGATGGTGGAAATATTATATATTTTAATATGTGTGATATTTGCGAATCTTATACTTAGTCTGACGGTTGTTTTTATTTTCTTTTTGCCTATTTTTGGGTTTAAGTGTACAATTGACATTCATTTTATCATAAATGGATTTCACACGAGAGGCAAATCATTCCTTGATGATCTTTCTGGCCACCGCCACCGAAATCCACTTCTTTTTCTCATAAATTCGGCATAGCTGATCTCAGTGCACATAACCGGCCACATTTCCTTTCCCAGGAAATAGTCATTAATTTAAACGAAATCTTGAACGTCTGCGAACCAATATGCTGTAATTCTATGGAATGGGAATTTACTGACAACGGTGGCCCTGTAAACGGAGTCTCAGAGTGTTGGTTCCGTGGTCGTATTACGCTCGATTCGTCATGAGCCTGCAACTTGGAGAGATTTGCTGCTGGGGGAACGCCCAGTGCCGTTTTTAGCATCAAAAGTTGAAGCCGAAAACGATCTGAGCTATCGAAAAAGAAAATCTTGGCAAAAATGATACAAACAGAAAGTTGCTGTAAACATAAACAACAACCGTGAAACGTCATTGAGTGTATGCGTTAAAGTTACACTGTTATTTTTTTGTACTTTGTAGCATTCCGCTTGACAGTTAATATCATTAATATTTATACTAAAAACTATAATAACTATCCATTTGAGCAATTTTTACACCAAATATTACTTCATATCAAGTTGTACTTCCCCTAGGCTCTGACGTAAAGAGCCTGAATTTATAAAGAGGCGACATCTTATCCATTTGACAGGTCTTCTGCTTGATTGGAATGACCTTTCCTATGACTTTGACAGACAATCGATTGTTCCAATTTTGTCATGTCGTCTCTTTATAAATTCAGCCTCTTTACTCTGACGGTACAATAATCCGAAAAATAATCTGACGCCAAACTTTTGTCAGTGACCAAACGTTCTGCTCCTTCATGTGCCAGGCATTCGATGTTTGTTTTTTCCTCGGTTTTTTCCCTATACGAATTATATTTTATCTACCCGTATTTTCAATTTCTGCAGTGGCATGTACGTAAATCAGAGAACAACTATTCACGTTATTATTCACTGGCTACATTAAAAATAGTATTGTTTCTAAACAGTTTCTAAAAAAAACTTCAACTTCGATATTCTCAAAATGGTGGTCTATTTATTGGTCTATTTGAAAAGTGAAGCGAGAATTTCATAAAATGATCCATGTTCGATTCGGTGAGATGTTCACAAGCACCAAGTAAACCTGTAGATTTCAAGTATTTCGTTCCGGCCGGTGTGGAAAACGATACAGTAATAGAATTCCACACATTTTTACTGATGAATTTCCATGTAAAATTCCACATGATTTTCATGTGACCACACATAAACAGAATCCACCCAGAAGCACACATGAATTTTATGAGTCAAATGAATAGTATGTGTGGTTACACATAGCTTTTATGTGTACACATATTAAGTAAGTGTCCGACATAAAGATATCATTTGGAGACGAACCAGCCCAAGGCTGAAAGTCTCTTTAATAAAGAAAAACAAAAAAGATATCATTTGTTGATCACATTGCAAAAATTCATGTGTGGGAAACATAAAACAATCTTTGAAATTTTATCAGTGTAACTTAAAGTTTCGCCCGAGGTCTCGTCTAAATTGTGACTTTGATTGCAACGACCGGTGTGGAGAGAAGTGATTAAGCCAAAATGGAAACACTGTGCGTAAGTCACATAGTGCAACAAATGGCAACTACTGGTACGGTTGCGCTTACGTTGGTTTAAATGTTTTCTCGAGATTCATCCTGAATGGTGGGAAATGCCTCAAAAAATGCTAAACTCGATATTAATAAAATTTCTCACCTCTATTCCTACCTTTACTAATAAGCTTGAGTCTGATTCACCCCTGCACGTCGAAAATGCCTTTTAAATAAAAAAAAAAACCCTTTCTGTCAAAACTGTCAAATTGCATCTCAAAACCGTCAGAAAAGGTCAAAGGAGAAGAGAAAAACGGAGACGAAGGAGATAAAATTTTTGTGTCGAAAATTTTTACCATCCGATGTCGACAGATTTTTAATTTTTAAGCTTTTAAATCGTGTCCACAGTACCTAAGAATCTCGCCCGTTCCACAGAATCACATAGCAAAACTGGACGAAAGTGGTGGAGTAATGAACCAGCAGCGACAGCAACAACAAATCAGTAGTAGTTAATGCAACATCCAGTTCTTCATTATCTCCATACGACAAATAAAACCCGAGGACAAAATCGAAGCAACCATAATAATACAGGCCAACCCTATCCGATATCAACGGCGAGATCCGAGGGAAATATTCTTACTTAATCGGTGGCTGGAGAATTAGCTAAAGGGAGGAAAGATCTAATTCGAAGACCCTGCCAATCGTGAGTAATTTTTCTTTTGTTTTCTTTCCTAACTACTACTAGGGGTGGAGGGTGGGGGGTGATTGGTTTTCTGTAGCTTTGGAAGGCAAAAAATGTTAATTATTTTGTTATTGTTGCAATGCGTAAGTGCCTGAGAAACCGTTCATCCCCAGACTCCCCTCGAAATTCTGTGTAGATCCCCGTAGTCATGATAATCGTTCTCATTTTCCTCATCTTTCTGGTTTTCTCTCCTCTTTATTTTAGTTACAACCTCCTTCTGTCCAGCCCACCAAACCATTATACACAGTAAAGAGCTAGAATCATCCAGCTGATAGATCTTCCCGCCCCGCACAAATCATCATTTCGGAACATACCCCTCATTTCGGGTCTAGATTGCGTGATATTTCGGATCCATCGTATCAAAATTGATCACCGTTGTCACCCATCTAGCTTGATCCATTTTGGTTGTACATGTACCATACCAAACAATAAGACAAAGAAAACAAAACACGGAGATCTTATAAATTATCTTACTGTGCCGTTGGTGCCACCGCGGAATCTTCTGCTGCTCTGTCTCGTTGCCGCTGGATGTTGTGATGTTCTCTAACGGGCTTCCCTGCAATCTGCCCTTTCCCAGCTGTCTCGGGGTGCCAAAGGATAGTGGAAGCGACGAACTGCTGCCGACAGCGATGGGAAGCCGCGAACCGGTCATACTCAACGTGTACGATATGGTAAGTAACATACCGTTTAAGTTCGAGGGTTTTGCTATGTGCTTACGCATATGAACTGGTGAAGAGAACACAGAAGAGCTATGTTAAGGAAAGGGTAATGACTCTTCATTACGTCCAATTAAGTGACTCCTGAAGGCTGAGAAAGGGCTTGATGAATTTCGCTAAGTTTAATTGGTTTGGCTTTCTCATATCGTGCGTGGTGAGAGAAACAATGATGCTGATGATTCATAATTCGTTTGTAATAAATTAGTGAATAGCTGTAGAAATGGTCTTGGACACGGGGAAAACGGATAACCGAATATGCACGACGTAGACAAAGAACTATATTTAGCTTTTTTTTTGTTGTTAATTTACACTTCTCACATGGCCGAGGTTATTTGAATTTCCTTCCTTATCAATCTTGTGTTTCGGGAACGTTGCGTGTAAGCATTTTTTTTCCTTGGGCATTATGTTCTAACTGAAACATTTAACATGTCATAGTTTACACCAAAATGGTTGATTGAATTTGAACTGTATTTAGTTTTTGTTTTTTTTTTTTGGGCCATAAACCACTGTGACCAACAACATTGCACAGTGGGGTGATTCCAAACAAAAGCAGGTCAAACATAAAATCGTCTTTAAATCAATACAAACACATGTTACATGTACATGTACTCAATACTTTTTTGTGTGCTAAATCCAAATCCAAGGTTGTAATTTTTTATAAAATTGTTAAGTTTTTTTTTAGTAGAATTTTCAGTCATTTTTTAACTGTTTCATGCTCATGAGTGGGCATCAAATAAGTCATACAAGGAAGTTTTTTGTAATCAAAAAGTGTTTGATAAACAAATTAAACATTAACCACTAAATCTGTGGATACTAGAAAGCGATTAATGATAGAAAAGTGTGTGCAGTCAAGTGAGGGTTGTAGCAGAGAATGATTTTTATTAATTGATTATCATACAACGCTTACTGTGTTAACATTCCCCCTTAAGCGGAATTTCTTCAACACTCAATAGCTTTCGGGTTTCAATTAGCTTCAAGCCAGGTAGTGCCTTAGTGAGGATGTCCGCAGCTTGAAGATTAAATGGGACGTGTTCCAATTTGATTAACTTCAGTTCCACTTGTTCTCGGATGTCAATGTGTTTGGTTCTTGCTGAATAGCAAATTTCTTTTTCAGCAAGACTGAGGGTACTCTTGTTGTCGCACTTGATGGTAATTGAATCCTTAGCGCCATGTAGTTCTTTCAAGAATACTTTGCACCAGATGACTTCCTGTGTTGCCGTTGAGAGTTCCACATAGTCAGCTTCTGTAGTTGATAAAGGAACAGTCCATTGCTTTCGGGAACTCCACGATACAGCACCGCCGCTTTGAACGAAGACGTAGCCGTTGAAGGATTGCCTCGTCTCAGGATCGCTTTCCCAATCCGCATCACTATAGCTTGATAGTCCGGAATCACCAGTTTTTCGGTACGACAGCTTGCATGCTTTGGTGCCGTGGAGATAACCAAGTATCCGTTTTGCTGCTGTCCATGTGAGCAAATCCTGGATCGCTGCAATAACTGCTTACTACACTGAGCGCGTGACGAATATCTGGTCTTGTGCACTGTGAAATGAACTGAAGGCCTCCTATCAGTTCACGAAATGGAACTTTTTTTATCTTTTCCTTCTCGTTCTCCTTAGATAGCTGTTGGTTCACGTCAAAAGGAGTTGATACTGGGTTGCAATCTTTCATCTTGAATTTCTCAAGTAACTCATCGATATACCGTTCTTTTTCCATGGAAACTCCACATCTGGTTCTAGTCACGCGCAGACTTAGAATCTGGTTCGGTTGTCCCAAATCCTTCAACTAAAACTCTTCACTGAGCTGCCGCTTGATGTCATCAACCAACCGTCCATCGTTAGAGAAAAGGAGGAAATCGTCGACATAAACTGAAATAATGACTAGCTTGCTATCGAGGATGCGATAGTACACACAGGTGTCCTCAAAGGATCAATCATATACGCTTCTGTTTCTTGTCCAGCTTCCAGTTCCACACTCTGCTCGCCTGCTTCAGACCATAAATGACCTTCTTCAATCTGTGAACCTTGCTTGATACATGCTCGTCGTGGAATCCTGGTTGTTCCATATATATCTCCTCGCCGTTCAGCTGTCACAGTGTCCATTTGATGCACTTGGAGATCCAACTGTGCGCCAAGAGATATCAAATTGTTGCACGGACGACAGGCGAATAAGTCTCGTTGGAATCCACACCCTTAACATTCTAGAAACCTTTTATCACAAGTTTTGTCCGCATTTGTTTTGAACTTGAATACCCACTTGTTCTTCAATGGCTTACGTCCTTCCGGGAGATCAACGAGACACCACGTCTAATTGTTGCATAACGCGTGGTACTCTGACTGCATTGCTGCTATCCATTGATCGCGATCCGTGCGATCCAGAGGCTCTTGTACTCTCTGTGGATCAATCATAGCCTGCGGGGAATTGCTATTGCAAATGAAATCGTCATTACACTTGTCTAGGACTGGGCGCTACCAGCCACTTCTCATAATCGTGTTGCAAATTAATAGCTTCATCTTTCAAGTGTGATGGGAGTACAGTGCTGACCGGTTCAGGCGTTGGTGAACGTTGCTTATCAGAACTACTAACCTGCGGAACAGTTGTCCCACAGCTGTCTACAGCAGCAGTCGATTTTTTATTTCGGTGTGAACCACGCGATAGCCTGTTTTCGAGACTCGCTATTATATAGTTGCTCTTTGTTTGTTGCTAGCAGTTCGGTGCCTTTTGTTGCTACGGTGCAAGATGTGTGAAGTAAAAAACACCATCAAGTTTAGCTTCAGCCACGATGATGCTAAACCAAACATCGGAGAGATTGTAAATTTCGCCAAAGCACTCGACGCGGATTGAAGTGAAATGGAAGCTGTTTATCGCATTGGTGAGGAAAGGGGAGTATTCATCAAGTTCAAATCAGAGGAAGCGATGCTCCATGCTCTGACGTTCAATTCGGAGGATTTAATCTTCCATTATGCGAATGGAACGACGGCAAAGGTACGCATGTCGCATGCTGGTGAATACATTCAATATGTGCGTGTGTATGACTTGCCACCAGAGGTACCCGACAACGAGCTGGATAAAGTGCTGGGGAAATATGGAAAAATTAAACGCATCATCCGGGAGAAATTTCCATCTGATCTGTGTTTTGAGGTATATACAGGGATACGCGGTATATAAAGGGTGATACGGTCAAAATTTGGTCAAGGGAAAACGCGTGTAAATCGGTGAAATCGTTGATTTAAAAAATCAAATTAAATTTCTTTTTCAAGTTCAATTAGTATAAAATTCAGGAAAAATATTCAGTTAGGCTTCCGCTTTTCCAAATCCGAATTGCCCGGCCTTACGCTTGACCCCTGCCATCAGATTTTGTACAGCCACCTTGTCCACTTTCTTCGCCGCAGAAAGCCAGTTTGCCTTGAACTGCTGCTCGCCCTTAGCAGTTTTTTTGGTCTTCTTTAGGTTCCACTTGACAATAGCCCAGTATTTCTCAATTGGGCGGAGCTCTGGCGTGTTGGGAGGGTTCTTGTCCTTGGGAACCACCTGCACGTTGTTTTTTTTTTTTTTTTTTTTTTTAATGCGTTTATTTTTCCAGGCTCATTTGCCGTAGCTTTGCGGAGCCGATATTCATTGTTTGGATGACAAAATTTCTTAAAACTAACGTTAGTAAAGCGGGGGCCGATTACTCGCGGCTATCTCGAGGTTAGGGGTAACAAATTGTAACAAATGGATGGCAGGGTAGGGATTGAGAACACAAGGTTTGGAGAGCAATGTGCTTTTTATCTCGAACTAAGCGACCAACTGACGAAAAAGACAAACATGGGGGTACACCGATGGGCAGCTAACAACTTGGGGGAACACAAGATGACACTAACTACTAAATCCTCAGATCGATCCGTTTTAAAAACACATAAATTAAATTAAAATATTCGAGATCTCGGCTCGCCAAGATGTCTCTAACGGGCCGCATAGGTTGTTTTCCTCGGGCCCTAAGGGATGCGGATAACTCGGATCTAGCAACACAATGTAGGGTGCATGACCAAAGCACGTGGTCGATATCGTGATAGCCACTACCACAAGCGCACAAATTGCTGCCTGCGAGCCCGATTCGGAAGAAATGCGAGTCTAACGAGTAGTGATTGGACATGAGCCTTGATATGACACGTATAAAGTCACGGCTCATGTCCAATCCTTTGAACCATGGCTTGTTCGACACCTGTGGGAGAATAGAATGTAACCATCTTCCCAGATCACTCTCATTCCATTTTTGTTGCCAGTTGGTGAGGACGTGCTGACGGGTAATTGAGAAAAATTCCGCAAAGGCGATTTGTCGATCAAAAATATCGCCTTCCATAGCGCCCACCTTAGCTAGCGAGTCCGCTTTCTCATTACCCGAAATTGAGCAATGAGATGGGACCCAAGCTAAGGTGATAGTATAGGAGCAGTTAGATAAAGTACTCAATTTTGCTCGGATTTCGGTCAGGAAATACGAGGAGTGCTTCATCGGCCTAATTGATCGAATAGCCTCCAACGAGCTAAGGCTATCAGTAAAAATAAAATAGTGATCAGATGGTAGTGAGGCAATTTGCTCTACTGCGTAAAATATGGCTGCTAGTTCCGCAACGTATACGGAACAGGGTTTTTGCAGTTGATATGAGGCGCTATGAAATTCGTTGAATACTCCAAATCCAGTGGAAGCGTTTATAGTTGACCCATCTGTGAAAAAACTCTTATTGTTACTAACATGGTGGTACTTGTTTGCAAAAATTAAGGGAACAACCATCGATCGATGGTGATCTGGTATTCCACGGATTTCTTGCAACATGGTCAGATCAAAATTTACAGAGGAACTATAAAAGTCTTGGAGGCAAACACGAGAGGAATTGAATGAAGAAGGGCCAATCTCCAGCGTCATGTACTCGTAATAGAGACTCATGAATCTTGTTTGAGGATTTCTGTCGAGCAGCTTC